AGCGAAGACAAGACTAGAAAAGCATGAAGGTTGCCCTAAAAACATACACAGATGCTGTGTCGCCTACAGTTTACTCATCGTTGTCGAATTCGCTCGATAATCACTGAATTAAGCACGTGCGACCGTGTCGTTGATTGAGTGCCTAGCCATGTGCGACGTCTGTATTCAAGAGTAGAGTAGCCAAAACATTCGTCAAGTTACTACGGACACAAGTGAGCCAATTGCACACTGGTTTGTCGATGAAACAAAATTGGAAATGCAAAGTAGGCCGCACTAGCAATGTTGTTGCGCGTACACACGTAATTCCCTTGGAAGACGGAACGCGCTACGTCAAAGGTCAAATATTAGCCCCGACTTCCTCACTTTGCACTTTGGAGGTGTGAAGGACATACCAAAGGGTGTCACACGATGTTTCAGCCTACTGCGCAGCGCTTGCATAACAGCCGCATCCGATCCGAAGAGAGCTGTCATCCGGATACTCTAAGTTGGACAGTTGATATTCCAGTAGAACTTCAACCCTTAAAGAAATACGAGAAGACAGAAGAGAGTCATTCATGAGCAGTTCGACAAAAAGGAAGGAATAAGGTGGCTCCGAAGTGTTCTTACTTATCCCCGAGAAACTGATACAGCTTCTGGTCGACCATTACACGGCTACAAGAACCGTGGTATAGAAAGGAATTCTAGTGGTACGGTCATCAAAGACAGATGCAAACAGGTAAAATCAAATGAGTCAAAAGTAGCCTTCAACAGAAGCCTACCTTGCAGGATGAAGTTGTGGCATCAGCAGCACACCGTACCGACGCTTCGGTGCCACACGACCACCAACAGGCGCTCGTGAGCTGAGTATACCATGAAGTCTCTAGCACCGACGCGGATTCGAACCGGTGACCTCCGGAGCACAAGGCAAGCGCGTAACCCTTACAGCCACCAGTCGACAGAATTATGCTGAAGCGCCTACCTGGGAGTGAAGATAGGGCCAGTGCCAGAGCGGAAGCCAACCTGACTTCACTAATCCATCTCTCACGAATACTTAATTATGGCAGTAAAAATTTAACTTCGTACAACTCCACTGAAATCTGATCAAAAACGTCAAAAAGTATTAGCCACCTGTTCACCTGTAACATGTAGAAATGTTTCACCGCACCACATGACTCATAGCAACCAACGGCCTTGTAATGTGAAGCTAATTCACGCGCCTGAGTCGAGGGATTCTAGTTCTCATGTTTGTTATGACCATGACGTGGATTTTCTGTGGAGCCTGATTGACAGGCTTATCAAAGTGAATGAACAGGGGATGCGAGTGTAGCAAATCACCTGTCTTGGAAAGAGAGACGAGGGGAAGTCCCGGCCTTTGCGAGTCACGTTTGTTGTTGAAGGGGGTCTGAGGCTGCTACTATCCCGCTTTGGTAAACTGAGGTTTAGGGATCCATATTCGTCCAAACGTGGATCCGTCGGTCAGAGAGAAACTGAAGTCCGCTATCGTGGAGTTGAGGCGACGGACTGGTAGTGGAGAAACCAATCTCCAAATTGTAAATTTTCGGGTATTTTCCCGGGTACGCAGAAACCGGATCAACAGATCGATGACGCTTCGTGCGCGTCTATCGAGTCCTACCATGACCTGCGCTTAGCCTCCACAGATGTTTGTAATTTAATGAACAAACGTGACGATGTGTATCACTTTTGTTGCCTCTCGTCGTCCCGAGGTACTACGACTGGCCGAAACCTGGTTAAATCCTGTGGTCACTACCAAGGAAGTCTAGGTCAGTGGCCACTCGTGCTTCCGGTGTGACAGATTATCAAACGATCGAGGCGGCGTGCTGTCATACGTTCAGTCCTCGCTGTGCAGAAGACTGGTATACATCTGCCACATCAAAGATGGCCTGTGCGAACAGTTATGGTGTTCCGCCTGAGACAGAGTGAACTGTTTGTGGGTGCGGCTTATTGCAGCTTGCGAAGTCGATGCGTGGATTGGTTGCCGCATGCCAGAAAATACATGAGTCAACCCCGTTTCCTGCTTATGGGCGATTTTAACTTGCCTCAAATATGGTGGTCTGAGGTCCAACTTCTCGCCTGGCGCCGTGAAATCGAGGCGCAGAAATGATGAGGCAGAAATGATGAGGCGTAGAAATGATATTTGAAACTGGAACAACACAACATGTGTGTCAACCGACGCGCGTTACACCGCATTCCGCTCCATCGTGCCTGGAATAACTACTGAGTTGAGAGCAACGTGTAGATGAAATTCAGATCCTGGATCCCCTTGCAGCTAGTGACCACTCGATGGTTTTAGGCAGCCTAGAGCCGCCGCTGCCCTACTCGCGTCAGCCGGAGCCGTCCTAAAATTATTGGAAAATGGTTTCAATCGAACAGCCAGTGAAGTGGACTGGTAACTACAGCAGGGTTCCTCTATTGAAACCTGGTGGTCTGTTATAAAGGAGGGTGTGCAATCGTTATTTGCACGTTTCGTACCATCCAAATATAGGAAAGATGGACCAGTGAAACCACATTGGGTGGACAGATAGTATAGCCAACTGGCCCGACCGCGACGCGTATTTTGGAATACATTCCACGTGTCTGGCTCTGCCGATAATTATGAGGCGTACAAAAAGTGGCGTATTCTATGCAAAAGAGTAAAAGCGCGAAAGCGACTGCAGTTAGAAGAGAACCCTGCAACCTCAGCGAAGACGGCCCCTAAGAAGACTTTTGCTTATGTGAAGCGGCGCCTGAGGTCCGCTGGTGACATAGCTGCGTTAGGGGGCACTGATGGACAGCCTCGGACCTCCAGCATTGAACGTGCGCCCGCATTGGCAGAGCACTTGGCTTCCGTATTTAATAGTGGGCATGCGCCTATGCCGAGCCCCTACTGAACTCGAGGAACTGGATTGCGGTGTAGAAGATGTCCGCAATCTACTCGCCAGTCTTGACGGCACGAAACCTGCCGGATCCGACGGACTTCACCCGCTAATTTCAAAGTCCTTATCGAGCAACATCTCGCCTACCGTGACCGATCTGTTCAACAGATCACCGCCCGAGGGTGCATTGCCGAACGACTAGGACTGCTCGGTAGTGAAGCCGATTCCAAAAGGTGGCAACGCACGCTATGTGGGCAATTACCAGCCGATTTGTCTCACCTCAGTTTTGGCAAAGGTGCTCGAGAAGATTGTGAAAAAGGATCTTCACTAACCGCTGGAGTCGAAGCTCTCCTAACGCAGGCATAGCGCGTCTACATGAAGAGCCCCTCGTGCATTACCAACCTGCTGTTGCTGCAGCAGGAATGGTTGCAAGCGTTGAACCGGGGGAAGTCAGTGAATATTAACTACCTTGATTTCAGTAAATCTTTTGCAAACTGAACCGCAAGCTGAGGTTGTGTGGTGTTTGTGGCGCGTTGCATCCGTGACTTCCTTATTGGGAGAAGATGGCTGGTACAGGTAGATGACCACCTAATGGCCTGGTACCCCTCCACTGGCGGTGTACCCCAAGGCACAGCGCTTAGGCCCATGTTATTGCTGATCCACATAAACGAAGTGTCTCCACTTCTTCGGTCGCCTTGTGCACTGTTTGCAGACGACTTGAACATTTGAGTAATTTTGATTCTCTCTACTATGAAGTCCTTCAGCAGGACATCAACCGCTTATCATGGTGGTCTGCAGAAATTGACCTATCGTTCGACCTGGCTAAGTCCTCTTATCCAGTCGCCTTAAACTGGCACCAGTAAGACTATATCGTCTGGCGGTTGGAGATTAGAAAGCCTTGGTAGGTATCATTAACCAGTGAGGATTTTGACTATCTGCTCAAAAGGATAATGACTGACGGAAAAATATCACTGCACTACCTCATTGCATTTCATCCGGATAGTCGTACGCTTCGCATTGATTTGACATGCATAGTAAAGCAACTTGTCATCTTAGTGAACCTTGTTTCTCACGCACGCAACTCAGTTTACAGCGGACGAGCACAATTTTGAATTCCCCAACTATGTGTGCTCCCATGTACGTCGCGGTATACAGGAACTGACTAACCGTGCTCTAAAAATTGGTTTATAGCCTTGCGTTCGTAGACGAAGGTCCCACGGAATTCTGTCAAGCTTCCCCTGACATCTGCTGGTTGTTCTCCTGCGCAACCAACCCACTTAGACACCTTATTGTGTTTGGTCCGCCTGCGTGCCTAATTTGACTCTGATGGTTGGGTACTTATTACGTTCATACATAGCCGAGGTAACTGAAATTCCAACTGCTTCGAAATAACCGAAAAATCCTATGACCTGTAACTTATAGAAGGCTGCAGAATGTAATGGGGAAAGAAACATAAATGTTATGAAATGATCAGAGGTCAAATGAACCAAAGTGAGAAAACACGTATAGCCGTGTTAGCGATAAATACCTGAGGAGTTGTAACGGTCAGCCGTCATTGCCTGTTCCGCGTACCGATCAGCTTGAATCAGGTCCCCTTCCAGGAAGTATAAAAATGACAAGTTTGTTGCAGCGGTACTGGCAACATGCGTGTCTTTTCTCTCGAATGATTTCAATGTTTCGATAGCCTGTTTCCAGTCAGAAAAAGGAAAAGTTGTAAAGCTAACGAAAGTAAGACCAGCATCAAGAATTCGTGAAAGACACAGCATGTATGAGCACATAGAACCGTGTGAAGACTTACCTTCGTGTGCAGTGATTTACCAGCTTCCTGAAAGGGAACCGATCGCAATATGATCAATACCCGCTTGTACTAAGAGGAAACGTCTGAATTATTTTTCAAGTGTCTCAAAACAGGATAATCTGTGGTAAAATTACTTCCATCAGATTCCCCTCAATGAATTTCCAAGTACTAGACTAAACCAGCTGTTAGCAGCTGAACGGTCACTTGGACTCCCATAAAACCGAGTATAGTCACCGCGAGGCAATTGGCAAATAAACGGCCTCGGTGTCTACGATCAGCAAAAATGGATCTACCTTACCGGTTCAGTAGGATAACTAACAGCGCTCACGGAATGTGCGCAGTAGTAGATCCGCAATCCCCTCCTGGGCCTCCTACGAGCCTGTTCCACACCCTCTTTAAACATACATGCAGCTGTAACCAGTGGGAAGTGATAGAGCTCAACTTTCTTCCTAGTCTGTTCTTGTGCTGCAAGAAAACGCAGCTCAGTAAGCCGGTGGTAAAGTGGGCGTAAGATGGCGTATGCTTATGCTTGGCAACTGATAGGCGGCAGTACAGATGTGTTGCGATCTGTGGTGAAAGTGGGCTAAAGCTCCATCAACAGTTAAGACGCTTAAATAGTTAAATATGCACGAGAACAAACCTAACCGATGCGAGAAATTGTTTGCAGAGTACACGAACATATCCGACGGTCACCAGTTGGTTGTCACGTTACAAAAGCTCCGTAATTTTATGGTGTGTCAACTAAAAGGCGACCATGGAGCAAGATAGACACAAAGGTTAATCCGGCTAACCTGATGGAAATCCTTTTGCTTCAGATACATCACTGCTTTGTCGATCTCCAAATCGTATGCCAATTCGTGATATGGGGACATCTTTACTTGCTCGATGCACCAATCGTAACCAGTGTTGAAGTTTGCCTCGATTGCCGGTGCGATCAGCTTTGCGGCTATCTTGATGTAGTTTTCCGCGTCGGATTTTCTGTTGTGCATAATGATTTTAGTCAATCCATCCAAAGGATGGCGAATGAAAGGGTTACCTTTTCTTTTCAAACAGGCGAAGAGCGTCGTTCCGTATTACCTCCAAAATTAACTCATAGTGTTTATCATCCTGTAACAGAGTAAACAGTGCAACGCTCGAAGTTCATGTAAATGCGAAAACATCTAGGAGGTAAGTCCGCTGGGTGAACTGGTAAAGAAAAGAAAGTCCCAATGGGTCCATTAGACGCGCGCGCTTGTCTCAAATGGCATACACACAAGACACACACAACATGGCAAAATGATGTACATCACACGGTGTCCTGGTCAAATCAACTACAGTCACGGAAAAGCAACACGTTTCATTACTGGCCAGGAACATGTCATGCCAAATGAACGTACCAATGCAACCTTAGTGAATGGGAATCACAATAAGCGCAACGGAAGCTCATGATGAAGCACTTCAGTAGTACTAATGTAAAACTTGGCAGTGTTGACAAACTGATCAGTTATATGAGATTGTAAGATAGCATTCATGCTGAAGCACACCATGGTGAGGTACATACACTTAGTATTGAGTTCTGATATGACGGAAGTAGCTGAAACCCTCTTACGGTATACGGGCAAAAGGGTAACTTCTGAGCCTAACTGAGTAATCGATGAATTTCTCAGAGCAGCCATTTTGTGGACTACGAGCATAATGTTGCCCTCCCCCCAGGTTGTTCAGACCAAAGAGTGTACCGGGAGGATCCACCGACGGATTGAAACTAGACCAACCAGGCACATAAGAGATACAGGAAATCAGCTGATGCCGAATGGGATTCCACTCTATGATGATTGGAACGGCCACAGCAGGTGTATCTAGTGGAGAAAAGATCAATAAGACACCGAAGATAGAAGCAGGCCGTGTTTCCCACTGATTGTATGCATTTCGGAAATGAAGCTCTAATGAGAGGCCTTTAATCTAACTATCCGCTGACGCACCTCTATTAACATAGACGAGTACACTTGACGTTGCAGGCAAGTGCGTAACTTAGGCACTGCATCATAATGCATGCTCGTTAGAGTATTCCAAAGCAGCAGATATTTTAAATGGTTGCCTGTAAGTAAAACGGTAAGGTGATGCTAGGAATGCAAGATCAAATGGCACGGTTAAGGTTCTGTTAGGTACAATGGCCTAACGGTTACTGAAGAGGAGACCGCGGACGCATTGCTCATGCAGTTTGTCTCAGTGACTAGACACACCATGGAACCATCGCCTTGCTACATCCCAGCAAATGTCGTCGGCTTATCCACGGTCAACTTTAGCCCTACATCTGTGGCAAAGAAATTACAGTCGCTCAGGGAAAATAGCGCGCCGGGAATTGACAAGATCTGTCCGAAAGTACTTAAAACAATTGCACCCACCATTGCACCCACCTTGCAACCGTTTTCCAGTTTCTATTTGATTCTCATACACTTCCGTCTGAGTGGAAACGTGGACTTATCACTCCGATATACAAGGGAGGTAAGCGGTCAGACCCTGCCAACTACCGACCTATTACTCTCCTTCCTGTTCTATCAAAAGTGATGGAGTCTATAATCGCTGATGAAATGGTGAGATATTTTGCAAGTCTACAAATCATCTCCAACCTCCAACATGGATTCAGACGCGGACGATCTTGCCTCACCAATCTACTCCTTGCTCGGGACTCATGGACCAGGGCTGCTGACGAGGGAGTTCCCGTAGATGTGATTTACTTAGACTTTTCTAAGGCATTCGACAGAGTCAATCACCCAGCACTTCTCCGAAAGCTTGCGGCCTATGGTATCCACGGATCCTTGCTCACATGGTTGGAAAGTTACTTATACGACAGAAGAATTGAGGTAAGGATCGCTAACACCCACTCCGATAGCCTATGCGTCACTAGCGGCGTACCGCAAGGATCAGTTCTCGGCCCGTTACTCTTTTTAGTCTATATCAACGACCTCCCTGCCAACATTCAATCACCTATGCAAATATTCGCCGACGATGCTAAGATGTGGCGAGCTATTCAGTCAACATCTGACCCTGTCTATCTGCAGGATGACCTGAACCGGATTCACGAATGGGCAGTAAACAACCAACTACCCCTGAACCCCGAAAAGTGTCACCTGTTGTCGCTGCGCAGTAACTGCAGCAACACATATCACCTGGGGCAGCGCGTTATAAAACAGGTGAGCAACGAAAGAGACTTAGGGGTCATCGTGCAAGAAGGTCTGGGTAATTCGTTCCAATGTTCAAAGGCAGCTAACATAGCGAACTTAAACTTGAGGCTTTTGAGGCGAGCGCTCGGTACCTTCGAGCGGCAACTCGTGCCAGTATTGATTAACGCCTACATTCGTCCCCACCTCGAGTATGCGGTGCAGGCATGGCGTCCGTGGTTAAAACGGGACATTCGTCTCCTGGAGCAACCACAAAGAAGAGCCACTAAGGCAACACGTGGTCTATCGGGCCTTAGTTATGAACTGCGCCTTCGTTCGATCGGTCTGTACTCCTTAGAATACCGACGACTTCGCGGTGATCTGATCCTCACTTACCGGATACTAAGAGAAGAGGACCATCCATGTAAGTCGCTGTTAACATTATCTGCCGACAAACGATGCCGAGGCCATGCACTAAAACTTGTGACTCAATATTCCCGTTTAGATTGCAGAAAGTTTTTTTTACTCTCTTAGTGTCTGTCCGCACTGGAACGCACTGCCATCGCATGTGGTGAACGCACCAAACATCGAGACATTCGAAAGACTATTGGATTTGCAATTACATGATACACATTATATAACGGTATGACAAACTGCAGTGTCTAACTTACTGATATTTTTGTGTCACACCTGAAACTTTTGTTTTCTTCCATTTGCCATCCTGTGGGTCTTGTAAAGTTATTGCTTTTTATCCCATCATACACTATTGAACTATTGAACTATTGAATTATAACATATCTACGCTAAAGGCTATAAATACAGAAATATCGTTGGTCGAATGTAGGAGAGCACTGAACCATGAAATCTCCTTGTAAATGTACGGTTCTCTTTCAGTAAGAATGCAGCCAGAAGCGGTTTATAATAAGATGCTAAGTTGCCATTTCGGTTCAGCAATCCAGATGAAGTCCTTGTAGTTCGCTCAAAGATACAGTCATCTGAATCAGGTAAATAGCTGTCCATACTTCATGGTGTACCCTGACGAGCTTCCGTTAGCACTCCTAGCCTGATGGTAAACTGATCGGCGACGGGAACTACAAATTAAAAGCAACCAGAGCCCAAACGCTGGTAGTCGCTTTTGTGACAAATTTTCATGTTGCTTTAAAGCAACATCAGTCTATTTAAAGTCACAGTACAAAGAGCAAGTGTGAGTGAATCGGAAACATGTGTGTACCACAAAAATGATGCAAAAAGCGATAGACAAGGTTGTTTTGTGCAAACGATCTCAGGCCCAGTGTCATTTCTACCAGTAACTACAATATCAATCAAGGTGGACGGGTGAGGTGTTGCGCTCGTCCCTCACTACACTCTACAGCGCTTTTCGTCCTTTTTGGACGCCTCAGGTTGAGATAACCTGAGTTGGGAGTGCAACTCGACACATAGTGGTTGGCGGCTATCGCCAGGCGTACTAGGTCATTGGGCTCCTCGAGCAGTGCTTAAAACAAGACCCGGCAATCGATCGAGGTGCAACTGATGAATACTGAACACTGACTTTATACGGGTTAATAAACACGGCTTTATAAGCCCCGTTGGTTAGTCTAGTAGGTTATCGAACAGCGGTAATGAAAAAAATGCAGTTAGTAGTTCTACAGTCAGAAGAGAGGACTTAGCAAATGTAGTGCGGTAGCCTTACGCTTCGAGTGCTTCCGTAGATTCAATAGGGAAAAAATAGATTCAATGTATTTACCGGGAGCAGGATAGAGAGTAATGTCAAGTAACAAGATGTAAGTGGCGGAGTGTGTCATGCAAGCTACTTTCAATATGGCTAGTATAGGTGCAGAAAAGACCGCTTGGGGAGAGCGTTCCATGGTGGACACACACGAATAGAAAAGAAATTTATACGGCACTCCAGAAGATTGTATTGTTCCGCTAATTTCAAGAAGTGAACTCTAAGGCTTGTGTAATTACTGAGTTGCCGTAAAGAGCGGCAAACTTGATCTGGATTGTGTACGATCAAGCATCCCGTGGCGGAGCTGTACGCTATCGGGCGCGTCCCTAGGTTGCGGATCGGGGAAAGCCTTCCTTGTGGAAGTAAGTGCGAATAAGTCTCTTTTGCCTTGCAGGCGAGATGATTAAGCAGTCGCGGACAATCAGCGACAGCGTCTCAGAGCGTGGGGAGTTCTGGACTGGTCACCTGTTTCTCCATTAAATACCACAAGAACTCGTACGGCGCTGTGTCAAAGCCAAGGTGATCGGCTATAGGGTCACTGACCACTCACTTCTATAACCAGAAACGAATACCCAACGGAGGGCGGATGAACAACCTTGTTGGCCACCGGCCTCTCTGTGGACTGGTTCCGAACACAAAGAAGGTGAATGAGATACCCGGATGTCAGCGGTCTCCGTTAATCGTCTCGCTGCCTTGCGGGTCAGGTCTTTATGACCAAAGGCTCAAGGTGGTTTCCTTTAAGTCAACCCACTTCCTTGGCCTGGGCAACCGGGAAGATCCCTGCCCGCACAACACAGTAACCTTGTGAACCTACCAAAATTTTCCACTGTCTACCTGTTTTCACCTTCTTGTTTTTTGTCGTTAACTGTGTTGTTGCACTGCCAATTGTATATTGGTCAGGTATTAAATGTATCTAATACAATCAAGTATGCAATTTAAGTCATTTCGTAGTCGGTGATATCGTCCTCGGAATGCGCCCAAACATTTCAGTCTCTGCTCGTATGGGAGGTTGCACATTCCAATGATATATTTGGAAGCCCAACATTGTGATTGGTCCAGTGCAGTAGGGTGGTGCTTCAGCCATGGATGTCAGGCTTGAATTGCGTATTCGACATTGGGGTGAACATACGCGCTGGGCACGTGTCTGAAAATGCAGGTGTCTATTTGTCCGAACGCCCGTCGTAACAGGCCGATGTGCTGGTTACCAGTTTTCGATGTCTTTTCGCCTTGCCCGGAACAGCCCA